CTTGGTGGTGCTTTTGCCAGGATTCGCCCAAAGCCGAGTTTGCAATTAAATGTTAGAGCTTGCGGAAGCGTGGGAGGAGGAAGGGATGGGAAACTTTTATCTTTCTGTGCGGGAGCTGGGAACCTGTAGTGCGGCAGTGTCCCCCGTCAGCGGGCGTCCCGAACGGCTGCCTGCTTTCCGCTGACTGTGGCAGAGAGAGTTCCTTGTAAATCAATTTTTGTCAGTTAAAGCATCAAGAGAGTAACTCCCCTGAGCGCGTGGGTGACCTTCCCTGCAGCCCAGGATAATGGTATTTATAATTAAGCTCTAGTGGTTATATGATAAGGGTCTATTGAAAAGCTCTGCCCTGCCAGGCTTTAATAAAAGGTGAGTGATGTATGCCTTCATGTGCCCTTGGTACATAATTTCATTCTGACTATCTTTTCTGCAACTGATAGGTTTGCTCTTTTCTCAGGGAACGTTTTCAGAATTTTTTTCCTTTCAGTGTTGAGGCTTAGAGTTGCGTTTTTCCCTTGAAGCTCAGTAGAGGTTACTTCTAATAGAGTGTTTCAGGAGGGCACTGCAAGTGTGTGAGATACATCCCAAAGTAACAACTGTGAGATGGGGATGGTGGTTATGTCATCCTTGCTGAAAATAGATGGTACCAGAGAGCGCTGCGAGTATCAGCTCGTTGGTGTGGATCCAGGCAGGCGGCGAAGTCAGATTGCAGAAGGCCGAGAGATTGGCAGTTGGGAAAGAGACTGATTTGTAAACGTGGCACTGAATAATTTCTGTGAAGGCACACGTGTTGGAGGAATAGAGCTTATGTTGGATCTTAAGCTGAAGCAGAATGTGAAGGGAGATGTTGGCACTTTGGGGTTTGGGGCTTTTTTTTTTTGCTTTGTTTAGTATTATCGCTATTGACTGTGCTTTTGAACTGGTATGTTTTGAAGCTCTCTGCTTTACTAGGGAGAGCATTTGGTGCCTTTATCTATAGCACATGTTAGATATGCCAGTAGTGCTTACGTTAGAAAATCAGTGTCTTAGCAAGCAGTCACGCACGTGAACAGGAGCAGTGTTGCTGTTCAGAGACTTGATTTGCAGTGAAAGACAGGGGGCGAGGGTGAAGCTATCGTGCCTTGGCATACAGCACTGCATCGTTAAACGCGTCCCTGGCGATCTGCTAGTTAAAGACTGTTGATGTGCGCAGAGGCTTCGTGCAGCCCGCAGACCAGAACGCGTCCACGTGCTTCGCTGGTACCTGTTTGAGATCAGGTAGCTAACGCCAGCTTGTGAATTATGTACGAGAAAGGAGTTGACTTTTCCGTGGGTGAGCGTGTGTGCCGCAGACAGTACGGATCAGCTGCATCCTGCTGGCACAGCAGTCGACGGGGACAACTCTGTTACGTGTTCACTAACTGCATTGTCGATGAACCTGCCTGGATGTGTACCTGCTTGCCGTTAATCCAGCAAGGCCAAAAATGCCGACAGCTGAGCTACCAGCTGTAGCTTTGCTGCTTTTTGTCTTGTTACCGAAAGCCTCGGGAAAGCTTTTTGGTTTGTGCCCTGTTTTATCAGGATTTGTGTTCTAGTTACTGCTTTGATATCTGGAATAAAACTGCAGCTTTCTGTCACTGCCTTAAGGGAAGCTTTCCAGTCTCCATAGTAACTCTTCCCAGGATTGCTGTTATATATTTATAGGAGACACAGGCAGGCTTATGGAAGGGCTTTGAAGCACCCTACATAGCCACGGCGCTGGGCAGGTGGGGTAGCTTCCAGCACGGTGAGGTTGTGGTCCCAGTTGAAGGTGGGCTGTGAAGGAATGGCATTACAAGGGCCATTGCTCAGGGAGGGCAGAGCTGCAAATCCTATGTGTTGCCAATGCTCCTTTCTTAGCAAATATATGACATTCAGCAGAGGAATGCAAAACGTGTTTTGTTGCCACCATTAACGCACACAGATCTTGAAAACTCCTCCGTCCCCCTGGAATTGCCTGGACCTAAACCAAAGGCTGCTGTGATGACTGGTTTTACAGAAACGTTTCCTTGCTTTCATAGACCATTACTGATCATGAACTGAAGCCCGTTTCCTTCCCAGAAATATATTTGGTGTGCTGAGAATGCCTTGAGTTGCTTGCTGATAAAGTGGGCAGCAAATGGCCCGGCCGTGGGCCTTATCACCTGGCTCGCGGTGCCTCGCTGCGGGGCTCAGAACAGGCCACGCTGCGCCAGCCTTCGCGGCTGTCGAGAACATTTTGTAACCAGACAGCCCCCCCGTTTGAGGCGATACTGAAGATTGTGTGGTGGTTTAATGGCGCTGAGGATTACAAGCACTGGATAGTTTGCACCTCTAAGTTAAACCGCAATGATTTGTTTTGACAGTCTCTCTCCCACTCAGTTAAGTTTCCCAAAGGAAGAGTGTTGCAGGGTGGGTAGGTTTAGATTTCTAATGAAATGATGAGAGCAAAGGCCAGTATTAGCTCTCGGCAGCTGTTGCTTCCTCTGCATGGGACATCCTATTTCAAAACCAAAGCATTTTCACGCTGCATTCCCAGCACGCACACTCCTTATTTGCTGTCTTTATCATCTGCACGGAGCTCCTGTGTTTTGCATACCCTGGCCCAAATAACACCAAAGTTCCCTGAGCGCTATGGAAGGTACAGACATGAAAATGCTCTGGGTCTGTACCGTATATGTAATGGCTCAGATGTTTATGGGAGATCACGGTTCCAACTATGGGGAAGCAATCTTTGTAAAAACCTGCTCTTTTTTTCGTGGTTGGGATAGCCTGAGCTTGGATCAGGTCTGCTGCATCGCTGTTAGGGCAGCTGTGCTGGCCCAGGGAGGGTAGCACAGGCCAGGGCTCGGAGGCTCGGTGGATCTCATTCCTTTGGCAGCGGTGCTTGTTTAAACAAATTACAAGACAAATTACAGAAGGCACTACCAGCACCAGGTTACTCAAACGTGAAAGTTTATGTAAGGCAATGATGGGCAAACAAGGGTGAAATGAATGGTTCTGGCTGGGTTACGCTGGCAAGAGAATTCCCTGGGAGTTATCCATTGATGATCAGTGACAGGAGCAAAAGACAGGGGAGTGCTACAGGTTCCGATCCATCTGTCCTGTTGCCCAGAACTCGGCGTGCCTTCTGCTCTGGGCTTCGTTCTTAACGCTGCATCCAGCATGCACAGCACCCGACAAACCCCACCGCTGCATGCGCCTGGAGCGTGGGCTGCGCTCCTGGGGGCTGCGGGCCTGCCCCGAACGGTCACCCGTGCTGAAATACCAAAGTCAGTAGCTCCGAGAATTCTCCCTTACTACTTTTCTGCCTAAAATGTGCTTTAAAAGACAAAACTTAATGAATACCGTGTATCCTTTTGGTAATCGTTATAGTCCTTACTTGTTTTGTGGTGTTGTGGTAGTTCCCAGACTCTGATTGTAGTTTTAAGTCTTTTCATTCAGCACTAGTCCCAAAAGAAAAGGCTTCCCCTCTTCCTGCTGCTTCCCACCTTCTCAAGTTTTCTGCTACTGCCGACGCAGGTGTTTGTGCAGCTTGGGGCAGACCTGCTTTGCCTGCTGTCTGGCCTCTTCCCCCCGCAAATTGTGCTTGGGGGTGTCTGCAGATCAGCTGTGCTCCTTGTGGCAGCAGAACCAGCTGAAAGGATTTGAATTGCAGCCTCATAGTCACAGTCCCCAAAACCTTAATGAGGGCAAGGTTATGACCCTTTGCATGAGGATTATTAGCAGAGAAGTCCGGGGGTCTTTGCTGCGGGGTCTGAGATCCTTCGTTGCTGCAGTGTCCTGGAGGAATATGGGCAGAGCTTGGAGTTCCTGATTTCTGGCTCTGAGCTGGTCTGAGACCCGCTCTCTGGGCCTGTATCTTCACTGCTCTGCTTCCATTTCTCCATCTGGAGAACGGAAATCCCTCTCTCTTTCCTGATGCAGTGACAATATGAATAAAGTGATTTGTTTAGCTTTTTCCTCACATCTTGATCTATTCCCCATCCCTGCCCTTCTTCCCGCAGATCATTCTCCTGTCTTTGCTACAAACCTGTGGCTGTTTGCAGTAAGTACTGATTTAACTTAAAATCAAAATAAGGCAGCAATTGTTACTGTCTCGCAGGTAACAGTACTAACTTCACCCATAATTACTGGTCCTCTTTCCACGTTCGGACTCAGCCCGGGCCTGTGATGTACCTGCCTGGCTGTGCCCTGAAGCTCGCTCAGCTCTTCTGTCTTGCAGATGCCTGTCATTGAGTACACCTGCCCCAGCCAAAGTCCCAAATACAGATTTTGTTTTGCTACAAATGATTTACATCACCTGCCTGCTTCCTGTTCTGTTTAAAGGACTTTTTCTTTCTTCAGGAAAAAAGTCAGTGAAAACTCATGCACTATGTAGGAGGAAAAAGATCCTAACATGGAGAGCGCTGAAGCTGGAAAGGGCCGTTGGACCTGTTCAAACTGAGCGTGTGGTGCCACAAGCACCCTACGTTGATCTAAATGTGAGCTGCTCAGGGGTGGGGGTGATCTCCTTGCCGCTCCAGCCGTTCCTCCCGTGTGCTGCTCCTCCTGCTCCTGCAGCTGGGCGCTTGAGCTAGAGAAGAAAACTGAAGAGGAGTAATTGTGGGGTTAGTTTTCAGCCAGTTCAGTTCCTTGATCCAACTCAACGTGTAGCTGCGTATATAACGCTGTTGGCACTAGGAAGGTCCCGGGCGAGGTAAGATTGCCCCTTCTGGGGAGAGCTCACAGTCGTCGCCTGGGAATGGTCCTGAAAGTGCAGCCTGAGAGCAGCCTAACTGTTGAAGGAAGGGGCTGTTTGTTCCTTAAAACTCACTGTCGAGGTACCTCGTGCTGCCCTTCATGGGGGAATACGAATTTTAAAATGGCTTTCTAAGGTAGGCAGTGAGAGCATTTAGAAAGGCTTGGGTTTTAAAGGGGACAAATGGAATCTCATTCTGCCTGTGCTACGGACTTGCTGTGTTAATTAAGAAAACTCAAAGGATTCCTCCATTGATGGTTTCACCATCTGTAAGGGGGAAGCAGAATCGCACACAGGGCGAGAGGAAGGGGTTTGTTGTCTCTGCAGAGGTGCTCTGGGACCTGTAGGTGAAGTCAGCCTATAAATACCATGTTCATTTTTTCCTTTAGTATCCTTTTGCTATTTTAATAAGTAACTTTGTAAAAGAATAAACAGCAGTACCTCTCAGTGTACAACAGCAAAAGCACGGTGGAACTGCAGCACAAAATTTCACCAGACAAAACTCTTCCACAGACTTTGCGTGTGTTGTCTGTTTTACGTTGAAGTTTACCTCTTAAACTCTTCTCGGAAATGTCTGCAATAACTCCTGAGTTACAACAGAAGGCAGCCTTCGGGCTGAGGTTTCCTTGCTCAGGTGATGATGCACAACCTAATGCTAATCACCTGAATCTGCCGTTAGATGTCTCTGAGTGGCCCGTTTTCTAGGGGATAATAGCTGCTATTCAAAACACAAGCATAAAAATTCTGTTCAAGTCAGCTTACGTTTCCCAATAGCCTTGTGGTTGCTGCTTAAAACAAGGATGGTATTTAAAAAAAATAATCCCATAATGTAACAGATAATGTAGAAAACAACACATACTGTTTTCAGAAAGAACAAGGTAACATTAGAGTAGGCTCTGGAAAGTTCATGATGTTAATTGCTACAGAAGTTACTTGGCCGGGCTGTGTGCAGTTTGTGATATTTTGGACACTTCCCTGGGAGGGTTTGAGTGAGTTTCTGCGTTGATTGACTTCCCTCGCTGCCGATACAAGCGCGCGCGCACGGCGTGGTGGTGGATCCGTTGGGTGCGAGGCCGGCCGGTGGCAGCGGAGCTGTCGTGCCTTTACCCGAGCCTGCAGTTTCTGAGAAGGCCTTTGCCGAGTGCCATCAGCGCCACCACACCTGAACCCAGCCAAGGGCTGGCCCCCGCGGTAGCGACTGTCCCTCTGGCACGCGGAGGACCCACAGAGATTCAGTTTCTCTTGGGTTTATTTCACTGTTGTTTAAGTGAGTTTATGTCCCCAAAGAGGCGTGCTTGTTCCGGTTCAGTTTCATTTGTTTCTAATGCATGTGAGACAGACTGGGTTTGATTTCATTTGAATCAAACTGTGGCCATCAACAGAGTCAGTTGGGGGAATTTGTGGGGGGCAGTTTAAGATAGACCCCTGTGAACATAAACTGCCTTGCCCCTTGTCCCTGCCAAGGATTGCCTCCTCACCTGAGACCGTCTGGGCTGCCAGCCGGAGCAGCTGAAGAGCCATACACAGTCTTGTTCTGCTTCCCCTGGGAAAGGGGATGCTGCCCTGGTGCAAGAAAGCTGGAGACAGCTGAGAGCGATGACGGCTTAACCCTGTGGTGATGTTCACCAGAAGCTGCCTCTCAGCTCTCCCAGCACCATCCCAGAAGAACGATTTCACCGGTGCTGGGGTTCAGTCACGCCCCTGTGGGATGTGGGGAGCAGCACCTCTGAACGCAGGACCCTGCCTCATCGGCTCAGCTGAGAGCTGGTCCCTGAGCTTTCGGTGGGCAGCTGGGTCTAGAAGTGAGGAGGAGGCTGAGGGGAGCCCTCATCGCTCTCTGCAGCTGCCTGAAAGGAGGCAGGAGCCAGGCGGGGGTCGGTCTCCCAAGTCACAAGCGATGGGACGAGAGGAAACGGCCTCCAGTTGTGCCAGGGCAGGTTTAGGTTGGATGCTAGGAACAATTTCTCCACTGAAAGGGTTGTCAAGGATTGGAACAGGCTGCCCAGGGCAGTGGTGTGGAGTCCCCCCCTGGGGGTATTTAAAAGCCAGGGAGATGTGGTGCTTAGGGACATGGTTTAGGGGTGGCCTTGGCAGTGCTGGGTTAACGGTTGGACTCGATGATCTTAAAGGTCTTTTCCAACCTCAACGATTCTATGGTTCTATTTTCTCAAGGCATGAGAAGTGTTTTAAGGAGAAATGGGAATAATATAGGAGGTAGCTGAAGGAGAAGCCCGGCATAAAAGGCTAGCAAAGGAATAGGGTATGGCAGAGCGGGAGTAAGGGCTCGGTAGAGGTAAAGGCAGGAGGATGGAAGGAGCAGGGACTTGGCTGGCTGAAGTTGCGCAGATTGTGAAGATTCAATCTTGATGTTGGTTCTTTTTGCTGAGCTAGTGTGAGTAACTGAATAAACACTGATTTTAATGACTGAGGCTCATGTTTTTTAACAAACCCCATCATGCCTGTGTAATATGGGAGAACTAATTACATCTGAATAATGCTTGCAAAAAGTTAACACGCTTTTTACAGCATTTTTTGATTTGTTTTTAATCAACTTTATTTGTCCGCTTGTTCTTTTCCCCAGTGAAAATTGTCATCCGAGGAGACAGGAACACTGGGAAAACCACACTCTGGCACCGACTGCAGGGAAAGAAATTTATTGAGGAATATATTCCAACTCAGGAGATCCAAGTCACCAGCATCCACTGGAATTATAAAAGTAAGATGGAAGAGGGTGGAGGGAGTGACAGTCATGGGACTGTGCCTTGGGGGGTAGAAATTCCACTGCAGCCTCCTTTGCTTGCTTCTTCTGTGTCTGCTTGGGAGATAAAATGACCTGTCATCACTCTTGTTATTTTAATTTAGTATTCACAGTTTCGCAGTCATGTTTTTAATAACTTTACTCAGAAACTATATGTTATAAGTGCTAAAGGATAGGTCTTTGGAAGCCACAATTCAAGGAAAGTGTTTAATAGGCGATCCAAAAGATTTGAAATATTTGTAATACTTGCTTGACTTGTTAACGAAAACAGGTTTATTATGGAAATCCGTCTCTGAGGCTAACCCTGCTTATAGTGTTACTGTGTTGCGTAGAAGTGAATAGCGTGGTGCAAACTAAATTTTTTCTGATTAAAATATAAAGAGCATCCCGTAACTGGTGAAGGTGATGTTTTAAAAATTATTGTGGTACTGATAACTCTAGGCTGACTTACTGAAGCATAGAAGTGTCTTATCAGTAGCTTTTTTTAAGTGCTTGTTTGAGTCTGAGAGATGAGGCGTGAATTTTTTTTATTTTCCCCATCTGCTCTGACAGTATAAAGTGGCTGTGAAAGCCCTGGATCTCGCCTGGAGAAGACACTGCAGGCATTGAAATTGCATAAGGCTCTGATTCAAGAGTGCAATAAGTCTGGCTTTCCGGTTCCTGATCAAAAATGCCACAGCCTTGTGGGGTGAACTACTGATTCAGTATGAACTTGCTCTGTAAGACTGATACTGCTTTAAAAAAAAAGGTCAGCAGTTAGTTTGTCATTACCAGACATTCTCCATCTGCACCCCTCTGACCTTTTGTTGAAGCAGGGACTCTCTGTCTCCTCACAGCTGGGAAAAACCCCATGCGGTAAACACCAAATTGGGTGCTTCGGCTAATTCACCAATCAAATTTGTATTGCTGGATGATACCGTGATGCCCAAGTCTTGTGATAATGATCACGGAGCCACGGGGTGTGTTCGCCAGCGGTCAGCCTTGGGACAGGGCGCTCTCAGTCCGTTGCCTTCATAGGGCTCAGCGCAAGGAGAGCGAGCAGATGCTGCTGTTGTACGTCCACAGGGGCGTACACAGGACGTCTCAGGTAACCAGAGTGCTGGAGACTCTCGTGCCTTATGAAGACAGGCTTCCACATGAGTCAGCGCTCTCTTGACAAAGGCTGAGAAGGTTTATAAGGATGGATGGTTGTGGTTTGCCTTGGATGTGGGAGAGAAACAGGTCATCCTTGCTCAGTGCAGCTGCCGGTTTTCTCTCATTCAGGATCTGATGTTGAGCTAAGCCCGATGTCAGAGGTTTTCAGATTCTTTCACGGGGACTCTCCAGGTGACCATGATGCAAAGGTGTGCCTGTTAGCTTCTACATTTCTTCATAAAGTATCTTTATTTTGGGTACCATCTTCCTGATGTTCTGCCTATCAAGTGGCCCAACGCCTATCAAGGCGTTGACAGATCTGCAGTGTTCATGCAGTGGTGTTCCCCATCGGCAGCGAAACCTCTGGCATGTCGTATTTTAGCTGGGACATGCTTCCCCCACAGTCGTCTTCCTCGCTCTCAGAATATCAACACATCAGTTACTGATGTGTGAAGAGCTTACAAGTTGTTTGGATGATGGAAACTGTCTCCAAAATGAAGCTTGAACGCTTCAGCCTAAACAGACTTAGAGCAGAGTAAGAAATTAAATACGTCTTTCTTGGATATCCGAGTCTACAGAGTGCACTGAATGTTAATTGTGGTTTTCTGCAATATCACAGGTAAAAACTTCAGAGTTCAGTTTCCTCTAATCAGCGTGGGTAATCCAGGCTGTATTTACCAACAGCACTTGTGAGTCTGGCATTTGATTTCTACGAGGCTTATTCATGCCTAATTGTTTCTGTATACCTGAACAGGTATACAAAACAGGTATACAAAATGCATATATACAGGTTTTTGATTCCATGCGAAAAGGTGTTTGGAGACTGCTCCCCGTGTAGAAAGATCCAGTCATCTTGAGTGTTTCTGCATATTTTAGGGACTGTTATGTTCTTTTACGGAGCTGAAGCTTAGGCACTGGCTTTTTCAACATGGATGCAGCCCTGGGGCAGAAAACAGCTACACGCGAGGCTGGCGTTTGCTGCACGTTGGTAACCACAGGTGTATTGGTTATTTCTGGTGCTTAGTTCTAACATTTGTGTGATATGTTTCTGCGGAGCTTGCTGGTTAGAGTTGACAGCGATGTGTACATACGGTGATGGACTTTCCTCAAGGTGAAGTGTTGCCAAGCTAGTCTAAATATCCGGAAGGCTGTACGTGAAACTGTGCTTTCCATCTGTGTTTCTTTTACGTTGTAAAACAATGTGTTATTTTCTTAGTAATAATTTCCAGCAGTGTAGGAAATTCTCCGTTGACCTTCTTAAAACTTGTTTTAAAAAATACCCCCCTTTTTAAAAAACATTGTAAGGTATCTTCCCTGCTGTGAAAACTTTCCATCCAAGATGGGTGATGCGAGTACTCTGAGAAATTGGCTCAGATGTAATTGCCGCCCTGTTGGCTGAGTTAATCTGTAGAGGAAAAATAAAGTTTGTTTTTCCTGTGATCATGCTCTCAAGCTACCTTGAATAAACGTTACGAGGTAGCTGGCAGCAAATATTTACAAATGCTAATTAAATCGCTGTCAAATATTGAAGGATTCTTACGTTGCCCGGTAGTAGAAGATTTGCATTTTAGATGTGGAACATACCACCTTGTCATATCTTCAGAAATTTTATACTGGAGGAATTAATGACGGTAGAGGAATTTGAGTTATTTCTTCCTACTCAGAATGAACAAAATCACTTTTCTGTGCCAATTGTCTCTGGAATGGATATTTGTAATTTTTGTGTCCAAGTAAGGAGTTACCATTCCTGACCCTAATGTACGCTTTTTTAGATTATGCTAGTCACCAATTTTATTCTCGGTTTGGCAGTCTCAGAAAGGGAGTCTGAAATAAAGATGGGCGAATACTTTTGTTCCGATACTTTAAATGGCTTATGGATGGGTATGAGGGATGGCAGAGCTGCTCTGCTCTGTGGGATTTGTGATCCCAAGCATAGGATCACGCAATTGCATGAGAGTGAATGTGTCTGAGGGCCTCTGAATTCCTGGTGACGAACCCACCCATAAAGCAATGATTCTTATTTTTAAATGAGTTTTCTTGCAATTGGAGTCTCTCACACCTCTCCACCGTTTTCTGGGAAAGCGATGTCTTAGCGTGCCACTGGCTACAGAGTACGTAGCCAAATAGCAACTGAGCAGAGATTTTTTGCGTGGTTTGATCCATGGTTTATGCTAATCCAAGTTATAGAGTTAAAAGGACGAATTGGCACTCTTTTTGCTGCGCCATGCCTTCCAAAGCCGGTAAGGTGAAATGCTGCTGTGTATGAGTCATACCAAAGCCAACACAGCAGCACTAAAGTAATTATCCTCTTGTGTGTTCAGCATAATCAGGAACGACGCTGGTGATGAACGGGAAGAACTTACTGGTATGAGCTAGCAGGAGCACTGGTGCTAACAGGAAAAAAACCCACGTGGAAAAATGGTTTTCGTGGATCTCGTGCAGTTTCTTTGCCTCAGATAGATGGGTGTAGAGCAGGTCTTTCTGGGTCAAATGGTTCCGCTCCTCGGCTCTCTGGGAGCGCCGCTGCTCAGCAGGATGTCAGTGCTGCAGGAATTACTCAGCAGGAGGACAAATCTTAACAGAGGGTGCATTTGGTGTTAGGGTGAGGAGATGGAGATCTCGGGAGCAAAGTCCCAGCGCTAGGTACCAGGTCACCTCCTAGGAGAGCACTGCGGGTCAGCCCAAGGGCTTACTTCTCTGAAGTGGGGTTCCAGCTTCTCCGCGGAAGCCCCTTGCTAATGCTTATGTGCTGCTTCATGTGGCGCTGCTGGAAAGGACAAGCAGCCTTCTGGACTCTGCCTGTGCCCCTGCAAAGTTTGCCGTCTGAGAAGGCAAAACGTCTCCTGTCCTTCTGCAGAAAGTCTCGACTGTTGAAAGGCGCCGGGATTGACTTCGCTGGTCTGTCCGTCCCCTTGTCCCTCAGGGAGGGCAGCAGCACCGCCAATCCCAGCCGCAGGGTATGAATCTGGGGGCAGAGCTCCAGTAGCTGGTCCGTGTCCCAGCACCCGCAGGGTCGCGGCGCACCCTGAATGGACCGTGGACTGGAGCAGCCCGTGTCCCCGGGAGAGCACCCGCCGCCCCAGTGCCTGGGTGTGAGCAGCTGGGTGCCAGGCGAGTGAGCAATGGGGAGTGGTTGGACTTTAGCCGTACCTGGCTCGATGGTCTGTAGAAATAAATTCAGGGACAGCGTTAATTTGGGGAGTGTTACGGTTTGTGCAGAGGCTTTAGGACTGCAGGCTGCTGTACGCCTGTCGGGTTTTCGGTCCCACCTGAGCCTGTGACGCACTGGGCCGAGCCTGGGCAAGTCTCCCGTTTGGCTGTGCCCCACTGCCCTGCTGGCAAAGGGGGAGATGAGCGGGAGTTGCTATGAGGAAAAACAGAGGCTGATTTTGCTTCATGCATGAATGTAAAAAAGGATCTTTCTCCAGAAGCAGAGGCTCAAAGTTTTCCTTTATTCATAATCTGTCTTTACAATATTTTGAAACATTTAAGTTAAGCCAACAGTGAATTCTGTAGAGGAAATGTTTCCTGGCTTGACAACGATGCTCAGCTAAATCCTCATGCCATCCTATGAGATTATTTTCTACTCTGAGCCATTATCCTCCTCTTCCATTGCTTTATGTTCAGAGCTGCTCCAAGTACAAGCTTTTGCTTTGTAGCCTGTAGCATTTCCAAAAAGCAACTGTTTCATGGAACAACTTCGCGAAGATCGAACTGCTTATTTGTATTCAGTAGAAACGTCGAACCAAAGCTGCCCATCCCTCGTGCCATCTGAAAGCTGAGCTTTTTTAAGAACGTACCAGCAGTGGTGTCTCTGTAGTTAGAATTTTTCTTGTCCTGCTCCAGATTTTAGCAACTTAAATATACGTTGCTGCTTATAATTTACTGATGCTGCAGCTTGTTAAGAGGCAAAATTGCTAGTAGTATCTTATTTTTCACAAAATGCAACTTGAAATTTGCAGAGAGAATGGATTTCTGTAGCCGCAGGACTGTCTGCACTGTTTGTCATGTTTACACAAAGATGCTATTAGTAAGGTTGATCTTCCTTAAATGTGCGTATTCCTTTTTTTTTCAGTTGTATGCCTTGCTTGTAGACCAGACTTTATTCTCCAAATTAAAATTGTATCTTTTTTGAAAGAATATGGAAACCTGTGTATGTTATGAAAAGAATCTACACAAAATATTTATCACATGCTTCAAATCTGACATAAAACATCAAGGAAATCTAGCTATCGCTTACGTGACTGGAAGTCTTTCAGAAGTTCTTCAGCTGGCACAGTTTTGGTGTACAAGTGGGGCCTTCAACAGCAGGCCGCCTTCTTGTTGTGTTTGGGTTTTCTTGTAACTCAATTACTTTTCTTTTGGCATTCGTCTCCTACTTTGACCACGTTGCCTTTGGGTTAGGCGCTCGGTGGTGAGCGTTGAGCGGTGGTCATTTTATTGAAACCCTCTTCTAACACTTTGTGTTCTTATTGTGCTTTTAGCCACTGACGATATTGTGAAAGTTGAAGTCTGGGATGTAGTTGACAAAGGTAAGATTTAAAACTTCCTTTCTACTGGAGATTCATTTTGCTCTCTCAATTTTAATTAAAAGCTTACATGGAATTCAGAAATACCTGCTTACTTCTACTCTAGAAAAACACCTGTACTTGTTTTTTTTCACGTGCATGGATGTTACCTCCTGAAAAAATATGGAAAGGAGAGCGGAGTCTGCTATGCTAGAGCCCATTAATTGGAATCCCAACTTGAGATCAAACCCAGTATTCAGAAGCAGTTGTTTCATGTGCTCCGTGACAGATGAAATAGCCTGCTGCTTAGTGTGTTCAGATTCTCTGAACTTTATTAAAAACTTCATCTTCTCCCCTTTATAGTGTTATATATGTTTAGACAGCTACCGAGTTCTTTGTTCTGTTTATAAAAGGTCTTGCCAAGCTGTTTTTGTAAAGAAATGCTATTGTTAAATTGATAAAATGTTATCTGCAGTGAATAATGTATGCAGGAGGGAAGGATAAAAGAGAAGCCAATTACTTAAATTCACTTAGGACAAAAAATGCAATATATGTCATCCAAAATCTTTTCTAAATGCTTAGCCAAGGAAAGTATTATGATGTACAAATACATTTTCCACTAGTTTCAATTTCTGTCAGAGTGTAAAGTTCAATTTCATAAAAAATAAAAACAAACCCCAAAAACATATGTGAAGACCCAATCTGGATGCAGCGCAAATCTGGATGCAGTGGAATCTGTTGCTAGAAGGGGTTGGGGCTCAGATACGAATCTTAACAGCCCGTTCTGTTGCCCCACATGCAGATATCGTTTGGCTTTTAAGAGGCGTTTTGTAGCAGCCAGGCTCCTGGTTTAAAGTGCGAGTACGGTCAGGAAAGCAGCTCTGCAGGTGAGCATCTCTTGCTCTGTGGGTTGCGCTCCTTGTTTGTGTGTTTCTGTCGGTCAGATCTGTTGACCACAGTTACTGAAACTTAAACTTTTATGGTTTGGCTGCTGCTACCTTTCCTGCAGCCCGAGCTACAGTCTGCGCTGGCACGCGGTCCTCAGCAGAACTGCGTCTGAGGGGCACTAAGCTCTGCCAGTGCAACTTAGACATGCGTTAACACTGAAAAATAAGAAGATAAGTACAACAGGGAAAGGGAGAAATGTAATTTTTCAGGTTAGCTAAATTGTATTTAAAATAGTAAAAAAGGTAATTAAAGATAGCAGCTCTAGTTCAGGTGCATAATGGAGCCTTTAGGTTAAACTTGAGCCAGTAACTTTAAATGAAAATCCTGGGCGCTTTATCTCTTTATTCTTTTAAGCCCCAGTTTTCACAGTGTAGACAAAACCTTACTTAGGTCAGAGTTACTGCTGAAGTCAGTCTGATTGCAGTTTGGCTTTCAGATCCTGGGATAACATGTGCAGGGCTGGAATCTGAGCAAAACATCTGTTTTCTCGCTGCCTTGCAACTTTGGGATGAATAGACAGACAGTTAATTTGGGAATCATGCGGTTCCAGCATTTATTTCTGTGAATAGCTTCTCTGAGCAGAGTCTTCTTCTCAACTAGAGACTTGTCATTTTTTTTTTTTGGCAAAACAGATCGGATTTGATACGTGCAGATGTTGATAACAGCTCTTCTGATACTGCTTTCATTTCTGCCAGTGGAGCATGTGTTAGAAATCTCAAGGGACTCTTCTCTCCACTTCATATTCTTTCAAAATAAAACTCATTCTGTTAAGATCCCTACTCAGGGACCACAGCTATGTATTTTTATGTAATCAAATGTACTTAATCAACGCAGCGTACAAATTCAGATCATCACCATGTAACAAAATCAAGTCCTTTCCTATTGCCGTAGCGGCGCGGATTCTTGATAAGTACAACGTTAAGAAAATGTGCAAAGTAACCATTAAGAGCTTGCTCATATCCAACTTTCATCTTAATGTTATGACATTTTTGTTCTTCCTTCTGTATGCTTAGGACAAAAAATCCTCCTGCGTGATGCTTTTGGTGAGAGCGACACTAATTTAGACTGTAGGCTTTTAGTAGTGACGTCTCCACTGCTGCTGCAGCATAGTGCTGACAAGACCTGATCCTCCTTTTTTCCCTTGCCTACCAGATCCCGGCTAACGTGCACATTGAGAGCTGTGCAGAACGCTGCGTTTATCAGGCTGGATTTGAACCTGCCAGAAAATACATGTTGTGAACATGCCTTTCAACATATGTTGTTTTCCAGGCTAAATTTTTTTGCCAGTGTTTCCGCATTTTGGAAGAATTGTTCCTTGTTAGAGAAAATTGAGACCTCTGTTTAATTTAAGATGTTTGAAAATGTATTGAAAACCTGATGTGGGGATGTAGCTAGACTCTCTAAAAGATGCATCGGTAAACTGCAGTTTTCAACTTTAGCCTTGTAAAGCAGCTTCAGCCTCTTCTCCGCTACGCAGTGCTGCCCTTCTTCATGGCTCGGTGTGAACGTGCACAGGAGAATTTGGGGAAACTCCATAAGTTGCACCCTGAAAAACCTCATGTACGTTTTTGCACTGAAGTTCAACGTGGTTTTAGTAAGCGATGTTTCTCCTCGTGCTTGCCAGCAGCGTGCCTCCCCGTCCTTGTTAGTTCGGCAGCGCGCTTTGGTTTTTCCCTCCAGACGGTTAGGAATGAGGAGGCAGCCCTGCCTGCCCTGCCTGGCTGGTGCCTTCCTGTCGTTTGGTTAGCATATTAATTTGAAAGCGTGGGGAGATCTGTCGTGAAAGTTTAAAACCCGTGAGGTTGGTTAGTGCGCTGAAGCGGGGGGAAATGGCGGCCGCTGTACTGTACTGCTCCTCTTCCCTTTTTCTTGACTTTTTGGGGTTTCTTGTTTTTAATACGCAGACTCACTGGAGTATGGACCTCCCCGCAGCCCGCCCTGGTCTCCTTGGGCCTGCTTAGAGAGCGGGGGTCATTAGTGTAATGATGCCATTTGTTAAAATCTTAACAAGTAGAGCTTGCCCCCAGCTATGGATTGTATTGCATTGTGTGCGGTGTGTGTAGTAAATACCGTCTCCTTTGCTGCCCTTGGAACTGGTAGAACGTAGGAAAGATATCTCTCGGCAGAAGTCACGGTCCTGACTCATCTTTCTGGCTTTGCAGCAAGTTGTGTAACGACTGCAGGTCATAAAGCTGTAACAGAGCCTGAATGCAGAGAAGCTGCTTGAATGCAGGTGACTCAAGAACAGTTCTGATCTGTCTTGTAACTTCTGCTAGTTTGGTTCCTGCATCTTTTCCCATACACTAACTGAAGGGATCAAATAATTTTTTTTTTTTTCTGTTGCCCCCAAAATA